TTACAAACTATTAGCGAATACGTCTTGTCGCTGTGTATTTCGTGACATAAAGATCTTCACAGAGTGCCTCTATTTTTAAAAAGGTACTCTTTGATTGAATATAGCCTCTAAGTTCCTGATAGTGCACGGAATTGTTCAATGCATATGCAGACAAACGACTGGAATACATTGTATGAATTTGGTGAGACTGTGTTTACAGTAGAACAACTGTAAGACATTGTAGATCTTTTAAGAGATGCATATTAAACTAAGTCAGCCATAGATTTTGATAACGTAGAGTCTATTTCCCCAGAGGAATTATATTTCCGAACTGGGCTGACACATGAGCAGTTTGCTAGTGTCCTTAGTGAAACGCTATCACTAACACAAGATACGAAACGGCCAAAAACAGTGTTAGGATGTTTTCTTATGAAAATAAGGTCGGGAGAACCAGATGATAGAATAGCGTGTCACTTAAATATCAACAGAAAAACCGTGGGACGTAACTTGAAAAAGGCACGAGATTGTTTAACAGGTGCATTTGTGCCACGCCATTTAGGTTATGATCACATCAGCCGCGAGGAGATAATAAACCATAACCTTACCATACCTACGGCCCTATTTGGAAGTCACGTCGACCCAAAAGCCACCATTACGTTTGATGGTACCTACATCAATATACAAAAAAGTAAGAATTTCTGGTTTCAGAAAAGGACATATAGCTGGCATAAGTTTAAAAACCTACTCAAACCATTTCTTTTGGTATGTGCGGATGGTTACATAGTAGATATTCTAGGTTCCTACGCCGCAACTACATCAGATGCTCAGATAATGACACAGATGATGAACAATGAGAGTTCTTCAGATCATTATTTGCTCCAACAAAATGACGTCTTCATTTTGGATAGAGGTTTCAGGGACTCAATATCAGATATTGAAACCTGCGGTTATGTGCCCCACATGCCACCAACAAAGGATAGGAATGCAACTCAGCTTTCAAATGAGCAAGCCAATAAATCACGCTTGGTCACAATTGTGCGCTGGGTCATTGAAGCAATAAATGGCCGATTTAAGCGTGATTTTAAAATATTTCGAAACCAAATGTTTAACAAATCCTTGCCAAACCTATTCATCGATTTTAGAATTGCCGGTGCACTACTAAACGCATTCAGGGAACCTTTCCATGACAGTGTGTACGCTGAAACCGTTAGCTAACATCCACGTGTGAATTTGATAAACTCAGAGTCACTTATTCGTGATATTTTTATATGTAATATATGGGTATTTCTCATTTTCAATAAAAATATCTGTGACTGAGTTTTTTTTCTTTAATTACTTATGGCACGAAGACTTTTTATATTTATCAAGATAGTGCTACTATGTCTAGTATACCATGTCTGGTGAAGACTTTAAATAACTATATATTCATTTTAATTAACACATTATTTTAAATATTAAAAAATAATCTTGAAAACGTCTTTTCCGTGGATGTGACTGAAGCATATTTACAGATATAATATTTTTTTTCCCAGTTTTTAACATGACATTTCTACACTTTATGGATATTATCCTTAATTCTATTATATACTGACCAATATGAGCTTATAACTTAATAACTAATTGATAAAAAAAAGATCAATAAACCTAACTATAATTTGTAACTCGGATTTTAGTCACTTCCATGGACGAAGGTCACGATAACTTTTTACTTAGAAAGAAACATGCGTGTAACTGAAGTTATGTGAGCATTATCAAGCTGTTACCTGTCCTAACCAGAGGTGGTTAATATAGCGTCTAGCGCCATATTATAGCGCGCTATTTGTCCATAGCACGTATCGCGTGCTATTTAATAAAGCTACAAGACGCTAACGCTATATAGCACATATTGAGTTGATTGACCGCGCGCGGCAGCGGGCAGCGGGAGGCGCTAGACGCGACGCTACCAGGCAGGCCAGCCAGTAATCGCGTGCGTGTTGATAGCAGCGGTTCGTTACTATTAATTTTCGCGACGTCGCGCTTAGTTATAACTCGTCAAGCATACGTGGTCACTACTGTGGTTGTTTTGCCAATTAAGTATTATTGATTAATTTACATTCTGTTTTGCTGTTTTGTCTTGCAGGCCTTCCCTATGGATGGATTAGGGAGATTGGGCAATGACCCACCACGCGGAACCAGTGCGTGTTGGTGGGTGCTAACTACTGCAGATGCAGCCGGGACCAACGGCTTAACGTGCCTTCCGAAGCACGGAGGAGCTCGAGATCGTAAATTTTTGGTCACCCATCCAATGACCGACCACTGCGAAAGTTGCTCAACTTCAACGACCGCAGCCGAACGAGCAAACCACTGGCGTCATCGAGCTCCTCGAGCTTTGATGGTCAAATAACAATTGCCCAAATAGTTTGCAGACGAGATTTTTTAAGGTTTTCCGCTTTAAACCTGTCCATGGGAGTGACATCCATGTCCTTTCCATGGATGTCACTCCAATGGATTTGGGAAAAGGAAATAAGAAGAGCAGTAAGACGACAGAAAACAGTTACGAAAAAAGAGTAGCGTTCTTAGAGGACTTGAAAATGTTTTTAGAACATCTATTTAACATACCTCTTTTTTACGAAACTTGACAAGCCCCACATGCTCCCTTGGGAACGGTGCTTATATTACTCGTTGGCCAACAGTTATGTGGAATTTTCCAACCCATTGCGACAGAATGAACTTTTTTTTAAATATAATATAAATATATTATTGAGACTGAAATTAGAAGGTGCCATAAGTACAATATTTTAGATCTCTTTAGGAGTTACGTTTAAATAATAAGTTAGATATTGTTGACTCTAAGATAACAGATGTGATTTAGGTTACAATTAAAAATTCTAAGCAGCTAAAAGCTTATTTTCCAAATATTTGTTTTCTTTAATAAATGCAATATACATCATTATTTCCTTGGATGAAATAATTTATGACCTCTTTATATAAAATGCATACAATGTCACGTCCATGATTTGAAGTCATTTCTATGGTAAAAAAAAACTGTATGGAAAGTCACTTCCCTGGATTCAGCGCCACTACCATGGACGTGCAAAATTTTATGTTGTATTTATTATATTACTTTATAGTAGATAATGACCTAATTAATTGTCATTAACAGCTATTTTAAGTAATGTTGACAAAAATATATATATATATTTTTCGTCATCAGAAGTAAAAAAATACCTATATGGACAAGCGATATACAAATATACGTCAAAAACTACTTTGTGAAAATGATATAACTGGACAAATTAAATGAGTTTGTATATAATGAAGACATTTTTAAGGCATATGAACAGATTATTGTAGATAAAGGCCAAAGAAGTAACTTTTGTGACTGGGTCTTTACCAAATGCTACAAAAATGTAATAAAATCGTGCAAGATATGTAATTAAGAATTAAGCGGTGAAGTAAGTGAAACTCATTTATTAATTAAAGCGAGAGAGTAACCAAAAAAAAAAGAAAATGGTTAAGTTATCCAAACAAAAATACAGAAAGGATTTTTGCAGAAATACAAATGATGACGTGCATCTTTTTAAAAAAAGATGTCCCCATATTTGGTCTTGAACAAAACATAAAAAAAATATGTGAATACACTAGTTGAATTCAAATTTACTTGTAAAAAACATAAAGTAACATTACAGGCCTATTTTGTGGACATCACTATTAAAGTTTTAATTTATAGCTGGTGTCGATAAAAAAATCGCATTCTTTCTGGAAAAACCACATGTATTTTTTACGACGCCGACGACCTAAAATTGGCAGCTCATGTTTATTATACAAAACATAAACATAATAAAAATCCTAAATAAAATATAATGTTTTATTTTTAACATCATTTCCTCTAAATAAATAAAGCATAATCGGTGAATTCATACTAGCGCAGAATCGAAGCGCATCGAAGCGAATTTCAGAAACAGTAACGGCAAATTCACCATTGTATCCGCAACGTAATGTACATCCATTTCCGAATTTGCTTTCTTACGTTTCTGAAATTAGCTTCGATGCGCTTTGATTCTGCGCTAGTATGAATTGCTCATATATATATTATATCATGACGAGTGGGGGTGACAACTTCTACCATCGAGTAGGTTCTCTATTCCTTTTGGCATATTTACCTTTCTCTATGCTATGAACCAACTAAATGATAAATCAGGGCCATTCAAGATAATATGTAAAATGCCTGGGCGTTAAGATTTGCGACAAGTCAATGTGTTTTTGACAGTTCTAGATTAGGGTTGGTGTTTTCAAACGGAAAATATACTTACCGATTTACATAACTAATCAATTTACGATCTAAACAGCGGTGGTTTTATTTTGATTGGCTTTTATGATACAAAATATTTTTTAATTTAGGCCATAATATGCCAAAGAATAATTTCATCCAATTTTAATTTTGTTGTAGGATCATACTGTAAAGTCGGGAAACAATTCGCAGGAAGATTCAATTGCAGACCTGTTTGCTAAGCCATCGACATCTGCAAGTTCTGAAGACTTTATGATTATGATACCGGCTACTTCCGTATCCCAAATTGAAGAGCATGTAGGGTCTTCAACTCCTAAACAACGAAAAATGGGCAAAAAGGCATAATTTTCAAAAAAATTAGAATTTGGATCAGGGGGTTCAAATAGGAGAATTATTATACCGCGATAAGCACCCTTTCAGCGTGGTCGAAGGAGAAAGGTTTGGAAAATTTATTAAATTACTTGCGCCATTATATAAAATCCCATGTCGCAAAACGATAACCGGTATTATTGATGGAAAATACGAGGAGAAAAAAGTTATTATAATCAAAAAGTTACAACCCGTTACCAATATATGTTTAACGATCGACGAATGGAAGGATTTAAAAATGAAGAGCTATCTGGGAATTACTATTTGTAGCAAAAATTTTAAGATTGTTTCTTTTAATATAGCTTGTGAGCCGCTTTTGGAGACATTTATCAACAGCCATTAAAAATATATGTGAAAAAAGGGAAATATTCGATGAAAAAATTGTGGCTGTGACTACCGACAATGGTGCAAATATAGTAAAATCTATTGAATCAGTATTTGGCAGAGCAAAGCATATTCGTTGCATAGCTCACACATTAAACCTTGTTGTGCAAAATTCAGTCATGGTGAATGAAATAAAAATATTCATTGATAAAGTTCGCAGAATTGTACAATGGTTCCATCAGAGCGGAGTTGAATATTGAGAAATTCTCAAAAGGCTGAAAATGTACCGGAGGAAAAAATTAAACACTTGGTAGGATGTTTCAACGCGGTGGAATTCACAACTGCATATGCTTGAAAGGTTTATAGCTATGAGTGGGACGGTAGGCGGCATATTGTTGAATCACTCTAATGCTCCTCCTACGATTGAAGCTAGTGAAATTGCTGTACGGAAAGAGGTAGTAAAAATTCTCAAACCGTTTGAAAAAGTAAGCGAGGAGATGTGTAGTGACAAATATGTCAGCGCAAGTAAAGCTATTCCCATTATAATGTGCCTGGAACGGGTTTTGGAAAAAACAGATCCATCGCATGATTTGGCCATTTAATTAAAAAAATCAATAAGAAATGAATTTAAGAAAAGATTTGAGCACATACAAAAAGTTTATTTATTTATACTGCAATATTTTTAGATTTTTATGTTAATAAAAACAATTAATTAAAAATCGTATTTTTATGTACAATGTCATATCCCTAGCTTACATCGACATATAACTATTTGCCGATTTTAGTTTATTCACTATGAAACAACCTAGCAGATTTCTACTAACGGCCTATTTCGAATACCAAGCCGCAATTGAAAAAAATGGACAAGAAATTTACAAAATTTGGCCACTAGGGTCGCTGTAATCGCTTGACTTAGATATAAAGTGCTTTTCTAATCTTTATGTTGAAGGTTAATATGGGCAGTTTTATGTTCGGCAGCAAAAGTTAACATGTAGTGAATATACAACACGCTAATTTAATATAATATGTGATTGTGTTTTCATGCGATTGCCAAGTAAATTTATGATACTTACGATAAGAAAAAACAAAAATGTCGGTAATTGCAAAAAACAACTAAAATGTTTTCTTTCAAATTTTTATTGACTCTGTGATGCGAACAACTAATTTCGGAGTTGTATCATTCACATATTTATAGAATGCGCATTTGCCAACATCGGGACTCTTATCATTTTTTTCATATACTTTATTTGAATAGCTACTCATAATAAGGCTATATCCATTAACATTATTAAAAAAAAAAGATATATTAATAAAAACCACTGCATATGATCTTATTCCAGAGGAAATGTACGCATTGCCACAGTCACATTCGCCACTACCAGAGGCACAGCTAATATTATCGCCTATGCCACCCATAATCACGCCGGTAAAAATGTCGCCTGCGTCTTCACTACCGTCGCCGAGCAACGAGGCAGCCGCGGGCACAAGTAAGACGCCTGATATGACTTAAGCTCACTTGGATATTGAGATTCTTCAACTCCTCGGTGAGGCACCAGAACCGGAAAGTTTATTGGGTGCTCCAGTCCATAAGGATATAGCAGCAAGGTGGCATGACGTTATAATGAAGGGATTAAGCAAGGATTGCAAAGAGAAGTTTTTTAAGGAATACTTTATTGCTTCAAATTGTGAGTTACTCATTTCTCCTTACTGAATCCTGAAGCACAAGCTGCTTTAACAAGTACTTTTATTTAACCAGATCTGCCGCTGATTTCAAGACACAAAAATTTGAGTGTCGCTATTGCTGCATTGACTTGTACCTTAGATAAAATAATTTCTACGAAGGACTCTCACAGACAAAATGTCTTAAAATCCATAAGTGTCTGTCGTATTCTGTGCGGCATTTATCAGTATGAGACAGAAACTCGGAAAAAAATTGTAGTATCTTTTACCAACATTGGCTTACAAGGCGCATTAACTAATGACATAACAGATAAATTTCTTTTGGGCAAAGATATGTCCGAAAGATTAAAGATTGCAAAAACAGTACAAAAATCGGGCGAAGAACTCAAAACTGTACTAGACCTACGGCGCATCTAGTCAACCTTTATAAGACGAATTTCGAAACCCATTGCAACCTCTACGACAGTATTTTAGAGAGGATGATATCTTTATTTTAGACAGGTTTTCGGGACAGTATTTCTCTATTAGAGAACCTCAATTACTCAGTAACCTACCGACCTGACACTAGAACAAGGTGAGTTTCAATTGATTACTGAAAGAGTCAACGAATCGAGAAAAGTGACATTATGTCGATGGGTTGCCGAAGCATTCAACGGGTGCTTTCAGCGAGATTTAAAGCTGCTGCGACAATTTTTTTTTAATAAAGTGTCCAAGCATTTAATGACAGGTTTCAAGCAGAACTCACAGACATTATCATCCTATTTTAGAGAATAGAGAGGGTGCATGGGATATTGTCTCTATAATCCAAGAAAAAATGTTCTTGCATAATTATTTGGCATGTTTCGTGGATTCCAATAATTTAAACAGAAAAAGGGCTCAGTTCGTCAGTATGACTATAAATCAAAATAACTTGAGCGGTTTTCCTCAATTAAGTTATAATGATTTAATATTAATATCTCTGGGTGTATATCAAATTAAACAAGCCAGGTCGTCACCATAGGGTTAACATATACGGCAAGAAGGAAATTATATCGTAGAAGTGTGCAGGGAAGTTGCGGAAGATATAATAAATCAAATACCATTTTTACAATTAGGAAACGTGTGGCTTTTAAGAGGAAAATTACATAGCCAGAATATCAGCCATAAAACCGATTTTGTTTATATTTTAATTAATGATACAGAAACTTGCAGAGATGCTATTAAAAATCATTGTTGTAATTGTGTTGTTAGGCGCAGAACTGTACGTTGCTGCGCTCATGTGAAGACTAATTTGGGATTTGAGCTGGGCCAGATACCAAAAAAATATGAATCCTACTGCTCAGTTTCTGGATGATATTTTAATTCAAAATGTAGATGGTATGTAATATTAAACACAACATAAAATAATTAAGTTGTTTTATTTCATTAGTCTACCTTATCAGAATATTTAAGCTATATCAGGAATATATTTCACATTGATCAGAACTATCATGAACCTACGCATATATTATTACATTAGAATTGCCTTTTACCATTATAAACCTAATTATTACTAAGAAAATATCCTATTGGTTTTTTATAAAATTATGATAACAGTTCCTCACTGTTTCTCATAACATAACATAGGTAAGTAGGTACGAGTTCCTTGATGTCAAGGAAGAGGACAAGTGTCTAACACAACAAAAAATGCACATACATTTTTTGTTAGTGTTAGACACTTGTCTAATGAAACAAGATTGCTTCTGAAAGTCGCAATGACATATGTAGATGATACCCGATTTGAAAAGTTGTGACTGTGCATTAAATTTTAAAACAGGCAACTATCTGTTAATCTACATGCTCAATATTATACCTGAATCTAATACATACTTTCGGTACTTGACTCGATTTTCCCGGAGAAAAAAATGATTACCGCCATTATACTTTATCATCAATCGCATCAATACATGTCATATATTTTTTATAGATATTTTTCTCTGTTAACAAATAAAGTAATACCATTTTATTCTTAGATTTTATGGTTGTACGAATAAAATTTTAACAATATGTTAATACAAATCCTACTCAGTTACTATTGTAGCCTACATTTATAGCCGTAATAATTATCTTCGCGGAAATACTAAAACACATAATAATTCTAATGGCAGTTATCATTTTACTCGAGGAACGTATGCCGCAGCGCTTGCAACTAATCGTTTCTTATGAGTCGTATTTTTAATTAGACGAAGCCAACTGACAGTAGCTAATGTCACTTTGTAAAATAATGTTGCCATATTTAAAGTAATAGTGATGCGTTCAGTTCACGTTCAATCAGATGAATGAACAATGAGTGTGAATAGTTAATCATTTCAACCTATAAAAGATTATTATCATATTAACCAACACATCGAGTTATTATTGAGCTCTATAACGAAATCACATGATAGCATGAGATCTGGCACTATATTGGGAGATATAAATAAATCACAGAGTAACTGTGTGGCTAACACCATTCATACCGACGGCATGCTGGTAACTACCCGAAACGCAGATATTGATACGAATGGTGAGGCCAAAGTCAGCGGCAACAGTAGGCGACTCAACTTCTCAAGAAGACGAGCAACTGATAGATCGTCAGTTAGAACATTCTAATGCGGAATCGAATGCTAAAAATCTGGTTCGAAAAGAGTATTTTTAACTGCATAATGGCTTCAAAACGTCAATATGATACCATTTTCAACACAAAGTTCAATTATTCCTTCTTCAAGCCTAAGAAAGATCAATGCTCTATTTGTGCCCTTTACCAACAAGCTGATACTATAAGAAAAGCTGGATTGTAAGAAAATTTGATAGACATCAAAAAAACAACTTACGAGTTCGGCAAATAAAAAAAAGCTGAAAAAGAATGTATTGACCACGACAATTTAACAATAGCAGTATTTAATTCGGGAAAGGTGTTGAGTATTCCACAATCCCCGACTTGCGGGATATTTCATTACAAAAGAAAGTATCCCATCTACAATTTTACTGTTTTTGATGCTTCTTGATACAAGGGTTATAACTATGTTTGGCACTATCAAATATCAAAACGAGGAGCAATAGAAATTGTGAGCTGCCTATTGCAATTTCTTTTGAGTGAAAAGGAGAAAGGCATCAAAAATATATTATTTTACTCTGACGGCTGCGGACGCCAAAACAAAAACAGATTCTAATTTTCTTCTTACATGTATGCCGCCCAGATACTTCAAATCAATATAACTCATAGATTCTTTGAAACCAGCCATGGTCAGAGTGAAGCAGATTCCATGCATTCTAGGATTGAAGGTGAACTGAAAAATAGGGTTGTGTATACTCCTGAACAAATGTACTCGATGTATGCATAGACTGCCCAAGTAACACACTTGGTGACAAAAAGCTTGCATAAAGTATTTTATTGGATACTTTAGTAATAAAATCCACCGTGAATAAGTTCTGTAAAGGTGGTTGGAACCTATATGCAAGCTGTATATTACCAAAGGGAGAAAAATTGCAACCTATTTAAAAATACAAAAGCATGCATGCATAAGCGTTCGAATTGTTACCCTGAGGGGCAATTGGAGCTAACGGTCCAAATTGCGCGTTGTGAATGAATGATTGAATGATGAAAGCGATACGTTCATTCGTTGAGCGACAAATGAGATCTAAACAAGTGTCATTTTTGTTGGAGATCTCATAAACAAAAGGGCGCGTGCTAATTATAATATATTGTGTTGTGACAGCATTTAGAATATTACATTTATTTGGTAAGCATATATTTTTTTTATTGTTATAACGTAGGCTAACATCATGAAGACTTTGCAAATGGTTTTTTATTGTGAAACCATGGTATATTTACTTAGAAAATTTTAATGCGCCTTCGATTTAATCAAATATTATCACAAAATATGCGGTGATCAAATAAATACTATAATGATATAAAACAAAATAGTTGATAGAAACCTAACATTATGGTTTCACAAAGAGTATAATGTGAAACTATATCAGAAACAGTTATCAAAAGTCATTTTATTTCATGTTATTGTAATAAAATACCATTCAACAAGATGCTTTTCAAGGACTCCATTTTTAAACATGGCGATTCAAAATAGACTCTGCAGTTCTTATTTTCACTCATTTGTTGCCTTATTGGAGCTCTTAAGGCCAAAAATAACTCATTAGTACCTAGTAGTGATTATTTTCACTTTACAGGCCCTTGCTGTTTAAGCGTTGAATCGGGGATCCTCAATACGGATACAAAACCCATTTATGCAGGTAAATAAAGTAAAATCTGCATAACTTGTAAATGTCGTCTGGAGTATACTAAGGCTCGTATTTATAAAGCGATCTCAAGATTGAGAGCAATATTATGTATGGATTTGACAGGTCGTTTTGTACTGAAAAAGACATTTCTGATACGAACTCAAACTCGCTGTCACTCTTGAGAGCTGATTATAAATACGGGCCT